GACTCCTGTGTCACGTGACTTGCATCCATTGAACGTCCATTGCCTAAAGCACACATTTGAACGAGCATCCTTGGTGTGCCCCTTTGTGGGCGCCCCCCGCATGCACCACGAAAGCTTTCTTCACTCCGTCTTTCACTAGCCAGTATTGCCCAGCATCTGGAGTAGGGAATCCCTTGCATTCCTTTAGGGAGTCTAGCGAATCATTGATGTGGAGTAACGGGAGGACGTCCCTCTTCGTCGCCATCATCAGCTTCCTATTATTTTACACACATCGACAGACTTTAGTCTGTCTTCTTGACCAAACCAAGTGGAGGGGCTGTGGTGACCTTGACAGCTTCATCTCTTCCACCAGATGATTTACTTCTTCCAGCAGGAGAAGTATGCACCCGGGTAGCCATCCCAGCTTTATCTCTTACCATAAGAATACATTCGTGTATGTCATCAGTAGCTCACAACATTCTTCATCCTCGTGGTGGTTAACATGTGTAAGCTGCATGCGTTGGTCATCCAGCTTGGTCTTGGATGTAGCTGCGGCCTCGTGGAGGGCGATGCAACTTACATCGACGTCTTCCGTCGGTGCCAAGAGGACTGCATTGGCTTCAGTACATTGGCGGGTGGAGGAGACACCCTCCAAGAAGTTAAGGACGGCTTTGATTATTGCAAGAAAAGCAGCATCAAGAACTGCGGCTTAAGCCACTTCTAGAGAGACAGTAAATTTCACTGTTCAAATTTCCTTGCCTATGTTCACACCTGACTACATCTCCCTTCTGCTATCATCTTTTTCCCTTCTGCTCAATGTACTCTTGTAGACAGCAAGGTGATTTCAACCTTGTGACACAGAGTGGCGAAAGCCTGGGGATTTGCTGTTGATCAGGCTGTGCCACAGTCAGAACAGAGGTAGCATGGACATCTCTCTAGTTGGCCTGGTGGTTGCCAGATTGAATGAGACCCGTTCGGAAGCAAACAGGGTGCGGAAATGGAAGGCTTAATTGATTATAGAGTATTAGGTGTAGGCCTCGATAGGAGTGTGCCAGATGTGGATGCCAGTTGTGGTTGTCGTAACTCGGTATTCCAGGCAACTCCTGACGTTTCCCAGCTGCAAACTTCATCAGGTAGCAAGAGGATTGGGTATTCATACCATGGAGATTCTGAGTTGCTATGAGTTGTTGATCTGCACGTCTAAATTGGAAGGTTAGTAATGAGCTACGGAACGCGTCTTCGCCTCTTCTTCGTGTTTGCCTACTTTGTTGTCTGCGGATGAATCAACTGGCTAGTGCCTGCTCTTCCTGGTTGATGACGTGTTGGTATAGGGGAGCGGAGTCGTTGTTTGACTCAATGCTTTGTGGAATACATGCATCTACGACAGTCTGGTAAAGATTTGAGGGGTAGGGCACAGAGGATCTGAAATATTCTCTAGCTTCTCATACCTCTGTTCAATCGTTGTAGCTGCCCGTATTGCACAAGACACCGAGTTTGAACAACGTTGCGCTACCTTATCTCACCACTTCCATCGGTGTAAAAGATTCAGTGTTTGACTCTTCTACCTTGTACTCCAATTCCGTGGAACAAACACACTGTCTGGATGAGAGCATTTGTATGGGTGGTATATATAGAGGGCAGGAAGCGGAGATCACACTGATGCACGTTCAGAACACTCTTCCATCCCCGCGATTTCTGACGACCCTTCCATCACGAGACTCGCAGTAACTGATTGCATGTCATCCTAGGTTCACAGAAGAACAGGCACGAATTGCACAAGTGGACAATTTTGTTGATGTTGGGGCTAAGTTTGACTTTGTAAATGTGAGGAAGGGGCATTTTAGTACAACATTGTCATGATATCTTTAGAAGTTATTGGAGCCTTTCCACAACTGTTGTAAATATGTTCAGTCTCCAAAACTGAAAACAATTTGTCCAGTAGGAGTTGGAGGGTTGAATTTTGTCCCGTAATTTGTGACTTTTAATTTCCCGAATGCTGTTTCTGCGTAAAGTCTTCTTTAACGTACATTTCCTAATGCCTGAATATGGCTTGGAGGGGAATTGTTTGGAAGTGCTGTTAATGTTCGGATCAGGGCAGCGTTTATGAGAGGAGTGTGTGCTCCTTTCGACTGCCTCTTGTAGCTTTATGCAAATCATAACAATGGTGCACCACTAATGGGCTGTGAATGATCAGCCTGTCGACGCAAAATGCGATGAATGATGTCACAGCTGATCGAAGTTGACGACTCATCCTTCCCTGGTTATGGCCTACACGTTGTTTGTGAAGGGCTGCAGTCTTCTCACCGACATCGCCAACTACGCATCTTGCTCTGCCATCTCGCAAATGTTGTAATGTGGCACAGAAAATTAAGGTGTTTCCCAACATTCTCTCTCACAGGACGGGCAGCAATACAGCCTTTTGGAGAAATCATCTAGACACATTGGTTTCTCCAACCTCTCGTTGGCACACCATTCACCTGGTATTACCTTTCCGATACCTAGCCAACCCTGTAGCTCCTTTAAAGGCGTTTCTTGGCTGGTTTTATTTCTTATTGCACATGTTGTTATCGTGTCTAAGGCTTCAGTGGTGTGCTTAATTCTGCAAGTGGTGGGACAAGTGAGTCACTTGTCAAGTGAAAATTACTGAATTTAACATATTTCACATAGGAAATCTGTTTCGAATGACACTTTAGTGCACAACATGCACATTCGACTCCATTCCTTTGCCATTCCCTTTAACAGCTAGAGGGCATGTTGGCATAACAGTTCAATGTGATTACGCCAAGGAGAAATTCGCTTCATTGTCCGCAGCAGTGCAGAAGCAGAAAATTTGGCTGTGTTCACAAAAGTCGACTCTACTCACTCTTCCAGTGTGATTAAGGAATTCATGGAATCTGAGGTCTTTGTCTAGCAGAACGGGATTATCAAAACCCTAAACATGCCATTGCATGCTTTTTGGTGACTATTAATACCATTTCGTCAACTTTATTGGCATTTCCATTCTCTTTCATCAAGTGTGGAAAGTATCTCCAGCCAACAGCTGTGACCTGCCTTTCCACAAAGTGGCAGTCCTCTAGAAGACACTGCATCATCAAATTGGGGAAAGTGGGGGCCAGGAAAACCCTCACGCTTTTCTTTGTCAAATGTGGATGCGTTGTGGTGAAAGGTGAAGTCAACTGAGACCAGCATTTAGTGTTTACTTGCTTTAAGGCGTTAAACCGCCAGAACATCAAGGTATGCGTCCACATGTAATTCACACAGCCTACCAATAACTGAGAGATCGTGGAGTGGCAGCAGACTATTAAGCTTATACTTTAAAGCATCAGTGCTTAAAGGCTAACAGTCATTCGGTCTGTCGCTCGTACGATGCGCCTCTCCAGCTCATTGGTCATCTGTCATGGGGTGAATTGAAACTAGTCAGTAGGATGCAGAAGGCAGTCAAACCTTAAGATGTGAATGTATCACACAGCACAAGCACACAGGCAAACAGACAGACAGAGCGACACAACGCCCACCTTACTCCCCAAATCCATCCCAAATGCTAGACAACACCTGGAAGAATCCATTCGTATCCAGCCTCACATGTGAGTGGTAAGTGGCTGTAGAGCACACGAAGGACGTCTGCAAGTTACAGAGAGGAAAGGCATGCGCTCTGATCTCATCGAAGATGGGAGGTAACAAGTCTGTAGTAACGGGAAAAACGTGGGCATTCAGTAAATGGTATGCGTGAATTACGTGAAGGCGGCCCACTCTAAGTTGGATGAAGCACGTTTGCCCTCCAAAGTACGCTCCTTGCACTACTTTCCTTTTCCCTTCTTTTGAACTGCAACATCACCTTATGTTGAGTAGACGTGTTGGATGCCTACAATGCTGGCCTGTCTGCTGAAGGTAGAGTCTGCCTTATTTTGTACGGCGTCGATGGTGATGATGATGGGGGGAGGGGGAGGAGCTGGGAAATATAAAGAACGGCGAAGTATTCAGGTGCTTGTAATCCATACAACCTCCTCGCGACTGAGAGAACGTAAAATAAAAGGTAACATTAAGGCATTACTAGAGCTACTCTCGCGTTCATTGAGTCATTCAGTTAGTGTCAATCATTCATTCAGTTACCCACGGGATGCGTCTCTTTAGATCAGCGACTATCATTTATCGAGGTGGATTGAAGCCAGTCAGTAGTTGAATGAGGACTGTATTTATACCTCAGGATGTGATTTCACCACACGACACAGACGCACAATCCAAAGAACTGACTGACAGGTAGAGAGATGCAAAAGGCTGTCATATTCCTCAAATCCAAACCAACTGGCTGCTTTACAACTGAGTCGGGACTGGCATTCTCTGAACACTTCTTGTCCAAACAGTCCCAGGTACCATGAATTACACCAATTTTGCTGCCCTTTTTGGTAACTTGTTGGACTTGTTCTTGATTTAGGAAGGAGCATTTTCATACAATACTGTCTAGGTGACTGTTGAAGAGACTGCAGCCTGTCAGCGACTGCTGTAAGCAGACCCAATCTTCTTAACGAAGGGTAGTTCGTCTCGTGTGATGCCATTCCATAATCGGAAAGTCTATTTATATCGAGTGGCACTTTGCTGTGAGGCCTGCTTCAGAATTGACGCTTCAATGGCAAATAGACGTCTAGAGGAGAATCGTCTGAAAGCGTTAAAATGGAAGACGTAAAAAACGTAAACCCAATGTCGATTCCACTATGGTGTGGAGAAATGCACCTTGCTTGTGACAATGAGAAGACACGTGACGCTGACACTGTTCATTGTTAGGAAACCAGACAGATTTGTGTCTAGGAATTCGAAGTCTGTGAATAGGCACTTCATTCACGATCGGAGAAGTGTAACAAAGCTAATCCGTGTTTTTCAATTGTCCCCTGTTATTCCTGAGGCAACGTGGCCCTCAGAGCTAAGCTGTGAATGCAATTATCATCCCCGATTTGGTACTAAAAATGTTTCTTTAAAGAATTTAGCTTGCAGACTTGAGCTTCAACATCCAATTTGCATAATCTCGCCTACTTTATGAGGAATATTTGAAAATGTCAAAGTGATTTGCAGGCACAGTGCGACAACACGTAAAGAGCGATTTGACATTCACCGCTTGACAAAATTCCTGTGCTCTCGTCTACACCACCAAACACGGTATGGGGAAATAAGTGAACAATTCCCCCATCCCCCGAGGTGCTCACAAATGCGTTCAACTTATTGTCAGACGTCCCCTTGCACATAAAGACACAACAGAAACAGAAAAATTGTTACACTAACTTAACGGCACCCAGTGTTGAGACAAAGTAGGACGATTGCATATCACTGACGAGTAGACTGGAACACGCTACGCAGTAATAGTTTGGATTTCATCAAATGAATGAGGCTCACCTACTGCTGCACCTAAGTCAAGTGCTGACGTCTAAACTGCCAAAGTGCTCTTCACTGAGGACATGAAAGCTAATGGCGAAAGGCGGCTACTTTCTACCACCTTCAAATGAAATTGAGGCGAAAGATTAGCTGGGCACTGCTCTCAAAGTCCATAATCCTATTTCACTCCATTTTGATGTGAATCTGGTGTTTTAAGTAGGTGGCTGTTCTGACTTGCCACCATCTCCTGCCCG